ATGGGAACCCTCACCAGGTGAGGGTCCCGTGGCAACGTGTGGGGGTCCCTGCTCCATCCACAGGACGTGCAGTGGAATGACCTGGATTATGCGGATGCCAAGAGGGATTTCACCTACAACAAGCAAAGCTTTAAGGACTACCCAGAGATGGTGCATGACTTCCACCGCCGTGGGCTGAGGTACATCATGATCGTGGTGAGTGATGGGTGGGCTGGCACTAGGTTGCAGCTGCCCCAGGGGCTGTGAAGGAGCTTCCTCCAGGGAAGGCAGGGCTGGCTGTCCCTGCCCTTGTTGGTGAATCCTAGGCTTTGTGCCCTGCCAGGATGCTGGGATCAGCAGCTCGGGGCCCCCTGGCACCTACAAGCCCTACGACGAGGGACTGAAGCGAGGGGTGTTCATCCGAAACGCCACGGGGCAGCCCCTGATCGGGAAGGTGCGTGTGGGGAGCAGCCCCAGTCCCCATGGGAGGAGACTTGAGCAGGGCCGTGGGAACAGCACCCCAAGAGCAGAGGGGAAGTCCTTGGTGTGTGGTGGAAGCTGTGGTGGAAGGTGGGGTGGCATGTGGGGCTGGGGGGTCTGCCCGTTGCTGCCTCCCTCCCGCAGGTCTGGCCAGGCCCGACAGTCTTCCCGGACTTTACCAACCCAGAGACTCATGAGTGGTGGCACGACATGGTGAAGGACTTCCATGACCGAGTGCCCTTCGATGGCATGTGGCCGTGGCAGAGCTGCTGGCTGTGGCTCCCTGGCTCCTGCCCCGCACTTCTGCTGAGCCCCGGGGTGGCAGCAAGGGCATCCTCTCCTTTTCCTCCTCAGGACATGAATGAGCCATCAAACTTCGTGGAGGGTTCCCAGGATGGCTGTCCCAACAACAACCTGGAGCAGCCTCCCTATGTGCCAGGTGCAGGAGGGGGTTCCAGCCCTGCCCAGGGCTGTGGGGAAGCTGGGAGGAGCCTGAGGGATGCTCCAGTCCTGACCGACTGGGCTCCCAGCTCACCCTCACCACTTCCTTTCCCATGCAGGTGTGTTTGGGGGTCGCCTGCAAGCCGGGACCATCTGTGCCTCCAGCCAGCAGTACCTGTCCTCCCACTAGCCCAGCCTGTACGGGCTGACTGAGGCCATCGCCTCCCACAAGTAAGCCTGGAGCTCCTGCTGCAGCTGCTGCACATCCCAGGGGATGCCAGAGCTGGGAGACACCCAGCATGGGCAGTGTGGGCACAGGGAGGGCAGTCAGCGGGTGGGGAGGGTTTGGTGTGTCATGCAGTGTGCTGAGGGAGCTGCTGAGCCCCTTCCCACCTGGTTGGTGCTGAGCAGACCCTGTCCTGCCCCCAGTGCACTGCTGAGGGTCAGGGGCAAACGCCCCTTCATCATCTCACGCTCCACGTTCGCTGGGCACGGGCACTACGCCGGGCACTGGACAGGGGACGTCGGCAGCAACTGGGAGCAGCTCTACTACTCTGTACCAGGTAGGGGCACCAGGGCCAAATCCACCCCTGCTTCCCCCACACCTGGGAGCTTCTCCACAGGCTTCATCGTGGAGCCCTGACACCCTCTGTGCCCCCTCTGCAGAGGTGCTGCTCTTCAACCTCTTTGGGGTGCCACTGGTGGGTGCTGACATCTGTGGCTTCATGGGCGACACGTCCGAGGAGCTGTGTGTGCGCTGGACCCAGCTGGGCACCTTCTACCCCTTCATGAGGAACCACAACGACCATGGCAGGAGGGTGAGCTCCGTGCAGGGGGCTCTGGGCTGAGCAAGAGACTGTGTGGGAAGGTGGCTGGTGCAGCTGCAGGGCTCGTGCTGGGGGAGTCTGTCCCATCCAAAAGGTATTTCCATCCCTCCCTGCGTGGACTGAGCATCCCCTTGGGCCTCTCCACTGCAGCCACAGGAGCCATATGCCTTCAGCCCAGCTGCCCAGGCTGCCATGAGGAATGCCCTGCGTCTCCGCTACTCCCTCCTGCCCTTCCTCTACACCCTCTTCCACCGTGCTCACAGCTCCGGGGAGACAGTGGCACGGCCCCTCTTCCTCGAGTGAGTGCCACCTGGCCGGGGCCGCTGGGTGCTGTCCTGCAGGGCTCAGCAGG